ATATTATTGAAATTGTTATAAATTTTCGTGTTCCTTATTGGTTAGACGTTTCTACTGCTTTAGAATGGGGCTCTAAAATTTAAGTTTAGAATAATTAATATTTATCAACACCACTTTTTTACCATATACTTATGTTTTCAATAAATTATAAATAAATATATGAATAACTAAGTAATAAAAGAGTTACACATATACAGACAAAACAAGTTATTTATTACAAACAAATAATCAAATCTTTTCTCTTTAGAATCTTCGTATAGATAGTAATCTAAAAGCTTGTAAAAGCGTTTGTATGTTTGTTGCTTAATCATTTTTAAACGGTTCAACGGATTTATATGAAATTTGGTACACGGATAGATTATATTCTAACTTAAATAGTATGACTGTAGCCATGGTACTCGAGTAACGCTGCCAGTATCTTGGAGACACTGCCACATGATCCAATTTGTTGGTATGTTCAATAAATCCATTATCGTCTCAGCCATTATCTGTCCTAGTGGATATTCAGTAATCTGAATATAGGTTTTTCCCATGTACTGTCATAAGGAACAGTTTTGAGCCACCTACTAAATCCTTACAAATTTTATAAATGTGAAAGTGGGTTTGTTACCTGTTAGCGCCTTAACCAATTACTATGAAATTTGGTATACACGTACTATATGGCATAAAGAAGTTTATAAACTACTTTTTGTCCCGATAAGTGAACATATCCCGGTCACACGGACGAAGTTGCGTGTAAAAGCTGATGTAGAATACATTTACAACTGATTGATTTGCATAGGGAAAATACGTGTAAAACAAATGTATTAAATATTTGAAAATTACTTAAATGGGGCAACCCGTCAGGTAATTATTATTACAATTTTATTGTGGAAGCCTAAAAAGTGATTTAGCAAATAAGATACTAGAAAATACATCATGAAGAACAATATTACATAGATTTTCAGTTTGGCTGTAGTTCTTTCTTTATACGTAAGAAACATACTCATAGGATAAATTCCCTTTAGTGTTAAAATATAATGGCGGATTTCATAAAACTTAAAACGTTATGTATGCATGTATGGTAAATCTTTTTTAATATGTCCAATGTAAAGAATATACAATAACGATTTTACAATACAATACTCATATTAATACTTATAAAAGTTACATTATCGTTATGGGTATAATACAACATTCAAATACGACAGCACGGATTAAGCCCCGAAATTAATATAATTAATAACAAATTTTATGATTGATGGCATCCGATATAAATTAATAAAAGCCGAACGGCCTATAATTTGAACCTTTTAAGCTTTAAATCAGATTCACAAATAGTTCCTTTAATAGAATGTACTAATATGACTATATAAATTGATTCGTTTATTTAAGTGTCAAATGTTTGGTCGTCGCGGGTCGACATTTATTATTCAGAGCCCCAGAGAGTCCGTAATGTGTTCCCGGCTAAATCCACCCGATTGCGTTCTCGTGTCCGATATAAGTTCAAATAGGTTTAGTGGATTTTACACATTTTTCATTATTGCTATTGTTCCCACGAGGGCCAGTGTTGCCCTTGCATGTAGATTAGTAGCGCTATCTGTCCTAACACCAAATGCTATTATCTTCAACAGCACAGCACACACTACTGAGTCAGCAAACTAAAACTTTAGTTTCCATATTCATTCAGTATTTACTAACATAAATTCAAACATATATTCTTATCTTTCAACCTTAGATAATTAAATATTGAGTCTTTAAAAAAAACAGACTTCAATTGAGGCAAAACCAGTTTTGATTTTTAAAACTAAAGTCCTGAACCGATTTTTATAAAATTTCTATAGGACCAATCTGTAAGTATATCCTTTAGGTAAAAAAATTAATTGTTCAAATCGGCTTAAAACTGACGTAGTTAAGAGATATCAAACATTAAAAAAAGGACCGAACCGAGAATCTTCTTCTTTTTAAAGTCTGTTGCAAATAGCTTTAACTGAATTTTTTTTTTTAATTCTTCTAAATTGTATTTTCCATAACCGGAGAATTAAAAAAAAATATAATATATTTTAACATTTTTTTTGTGTCAGCTACGTTCCAACTACCTTACCTAGTGTATCCTACTACATAGGCGAGGAGGTAGGTACCACTGGGTCACAAAATACAAAACAAATAATAACCATTGCACAATTTAGGGCACCAAAATACGTATAGAGTTCAAAGAAAGTATGTTATTTAACAGTAATTACGTTTATAACGCGCTAAAATGAATATACTTGCCCGAATTAATGGCAATTAACGCGTTAATGGCACAATTAAGGTCGGCACGTCACTAGTAGAGTTTAGCGAGTGCATCAAACGGAATCTAGATTTAAAAATATACCAATCAATATTGTTCGTGTTAAAGGGATATTAGGCAAACAAGCTGACAGACCACCTGATAGAAAGTAGTAGGCGACGCTTATAAACATAAATTATTATGGTTTGGGCATAGCTATTCATGTTTATATGCGAGATGACCGTGATATCATGACGGATATGATCAAGATTTCGCAAAACTAGGACTGTGTGTTTGTAATCTACCTTTGTGTATTAGGCGTTAACTGCCCACTGCTGAACATAGCCTCCCCCATAAGGGGGGTTTTGCAAGTAGTTGTCACACATGGTAGGCGGGTTGGTAACCGCAGTTTGGCTTTTGGTGATGATACTGCCCATCCTTCCACTATAAGTTCACTTAGTCGCCTCTTACGACACCCGCGGGAAAGGAAGGGATGGCCTATTCTATGCCGGGACCTACTCGGTACTACAAGAATCAACCTTTATCATAGTTTAAATAATTCAAGAAACAAAGTGGATAGACTATTACTTAGCGCATTTAAGTGGAGTTTCACATGAAATGCAACTACATCGTCATCATTTCTATTTATAACGGCTTGAGTCCGATAAAAATATCAAGTCAATAATATAAGTGCCTTTGTTCACGTATCTAGATATATAATTCGCTTAGCTTATTTGGTTTATTATTTTTAAATTCCAAATAGAATGAAATTTTCAATTGAACGGTATTTTTGGTTACGGAATATTTGGCTACTTTTGATAATTTTACTCCTATTCCATCCAGATATTTTCCATGTTTCTCCCCATAATAATATTACAAAAATCTTAAGTTATTATTAATTTTAATTATAATATTTTTATTAATTTATTTAGTTATTTTTTTGGCAGTCTATGGGGGAGGCCTACGTTTAGCAGTGGACTGATAATGGCTGAGATGATGATTTTAAAATTTCTTTCACCTTTAGAAAGCTACAATATTAACGAATATATCTTCATCATCATATCAGGCGTCGTCTGTCCACTGCTGAACATAGACCTCCCCCATAAGGGGAGTTTTGAACGGGTTGGAATTGGAATTGGTGACGGAATAACATTTATATATATTATTTTCAAAAAGTCTGTCTACCCGTGCGAAGCCGGAACGGTTCACTAGTTCATAATATTATAGGAAGGAGAATAAACACCTTGCGACCCCATCAACATAAGGTCGCGACTCCACCGGGATAAAATTATATTTGGAGCTCTGTAATTTTATTTTTATATTCGGCCATATTCGCAGCCGAGTCTGCCTGTTTACTCGTTCCCGGGACATGTGACTGGGCAAGTGTATCGACGCAGGCATCCCACTCCCACACCAACGCTAAGCCCATTGCCTCGGATACGAGATACACACCGTCCGGTGTTTTAACGGCACTATACTATCTGATGATTATATTAGGAAGAGAACAGATTTGATTGTTTGTTTGTAATGGATAAACTCAAAAACTCAGCTAACTTTGAAAATTCATCCACCAGTCAAGGTTTTTCTAGACTGCAGTATAGGGTTCTTCAAAAAAGGGGTAAACAGATTTCTTCAGGGTCAGCAACGCGGACACAATGGCCCTAAAACTGCAGGCGTTCATAGATTACCGTAAACGCTTACCATAAACTTATAGAAAGCTACTTTACAATATACTTATTATTTATCTATCTACTTACCAGATGGTAGTGAATTTACAGGGTAGAGAGGAATAACACCTGAGTCCTCAGGAATGGCAACGCATGGGGGTATCATGAGCGAAACAGTTATGTCAATGGTACTGCTCATGTATTTAGGCGACAGTTACCATTTTCTATCAGGTGGGCTGTCATCTTGTTTGTCATTCTGTTTGCATAAAAAAAAAGAGCAGCCGGGACGGATTGCTAGTAAAATATGTAAAATTGACGACGAAAATGTTCATTACAATTAGTTTCTTAATTTTCTCCTCGAATTGCTTAAATTAGTTAGCAAGGCTAATTAAATCATAAATGCGTAAGATGTTAATTAATGTGCGTCAGGTAGCTGTTTTTTGTGAGACACATATAAGTTCATACTGTGACATCGCTTCGAATTACAATAATAAGTATTCTTGTTTTGAACCGGCTCAATATTGATAGATTCGTTTATATTAAAAAAAAAACGCGTCTCATTTTATAGACAAGTTGCGATATGCTGTTTTGTTCACTTGAATTGATTTATTTATTTAATAAGGTTCACATACAACTTTTACATTTTACATGCTACTTAACCAATAACACAAAATAATTTTGCCTAATGCAAAAGTCTTTTACAGGCGAACACCACATGCACTATTATAATATTTAATAAATCATTAACAATAACAATAAGATTATTGATATGAATATCCTATGTGTTTATCTAGGATTATTATGGTCCATATGAGTATCAAATTTTATTCAAATCTGTTCTGTCTAAACGTGAATATTAGCAACAATTGTTAAAAGTTTCTTTAGTATAAATTACATTATAACTGTAATAGTGCTCGGACTTTTGAGTAAATTAATTTAGCATTCTCGACAAAAATACACTTAATCCAGTTGTTTTCACAGTTTAAATACTAATAACAATTAACTAAGTATTATAGGTTTTGTCAGTACTGCTATTATTTCTGCAGAGCAGAATTATTTCAAGTATTCCGCTTTTGTTTCAGCAACGGTCCGGTGGAGGGCGCGTACGGTCCGCAACACAGTCCGGTGTCGCGGTCGGACGCCTCCACTGAGGACGCGGAGCTGTCGGCTGCGTTAGCGCATCAGCATCATCTAGCTATGCAGGTCAGTTGGTGATATTGTTAAGTATGTTTATATATATAGGGTGAAGTTGGAATCGTTAGTCTCATGTAAAATTAAGAATCCACCCATGTTATAGACGAGCGTCTCCTGGGCGTGTCGTGTTAACATGGGAGGCTCTAAACTTATTGTCGTTTTACGACCTGTTTCTTTGATGATAATGTTCAGTCTCACTGGTAGAACATCCTTAAAGGAATATTAACAATTTCACCTGTATATAGTTTTTAAGAAGTATCTGCGTGATTTATATATATTAATTGACTGAAAATCAAACTTAGTACTTTTGTAAAGCCATTAGTTAAAATTAAAAGAAAATTGGTTAAAAAAATAAATTTGACAGCTATGGTTTTTTTTTCTGCAATGGACATGAAATTGTTCTTTTATATAATTTTTGAGCATTCAATGTTATGATAGAAATTTCCACCATTATGCAAAGAAGGGTTAAAATAGGTTTGTAATATGTTTTAATTTTTATGAATGAGGAGTTATTCTTTTGCATTAGTTATTACGTCTAACACGAGATTTATGTGGTTATTTTAATTATTTTTAAAGGCTGGCGATTACCAAGTGGGCGGCGGTGTGGGAGTGGGAGTGGACGCTGACTACGGGCAGTATGTCTCCTCGCCGGCCACGCATTACAACCACATGGGACATTTGACTATGGCGCCGTCACAGAAATACCCACACGTGAGTCCGTTCTGACCAGTTGACTGTTTCACAGCGATGATTGAGTCCCAGTTCATGCCTCTATATTTTCTAAATTGATATGTGGGTTATTTAGATTTATATGTAGTCTTAATGATGATCGTCAGACTCCATAATCAGATTTTTATCATTATCTGCCAGCTAACAACTTAGTAATGAGATTATAATTTTATCTAAGTATAATGTTGTTAATATTTTTCATTACATTATTTTTATTAAGATTTTGTTAGTTTGTTTCTGTTATACTATTTTCAACTGACTTTAGAAAAGAGGAACTTCTCAATTCTGTTGTATTTTTTTATGTTTGTTACCTCATAATTCCCTCAGTTCTAAATCGATTTGGAACTGTTTATATCTAAAAGGATGTAGGTATTTACAGATTGGTCCCATTGAAATTTTATCAAAATCAGTTATATAGATAGATAGATAGTTCTGTCTATTGTAATAAATTATATATATATTTGATTTATATGACTAATGAAAAGAAATATAGCGTAGACTAGATAAATTTTTGACATTGTTAATAATTTGCACGCCGACACAGAGGCGGAATGTATACGGGAAATGTAAACCTCTTTCATCGAAAACTACCTATTCTAGCAAAATAAATTAATTTCATTTCATTTTATTTCGGTAGTTCAGTTTTTAAATCTAAATTACTGGTTTTGCACAACTGAAGTGGGTTTTTTCGCGAGACACTTCACACTTTCACAGACATCTTTAATTACGAGTATTCTGCATTCAACGCCATCTAACGGTAGTAATATTATTGTCGTTATTGGCGCTAGATGGTGCTACATATAGAAATTTAGGGTTTAAGAAGACATCAACGGATGATTTTGAAAAGAACAGACTTTTAGTTTATATATATGTATATAATTTCGTATTTTGGATTTTCTTTATGAATGTATAGAGGCTAAGTGCTATATGCATACTAACATAATTTTATACTTACATTATATTACTGTAACTTATAGATTTAACAAATTAGACATGCATGTATTCTATTATTATTATACATTATTATATTTAGAATTTATTTAATAATTTTCTAAGGTCTCCAATGTTTGTTATTTTTTTATAGTCTACTCATGTCCCACAAATAAATAGCAATCTTTTCTTATATATTTTTTTTTATTTAATACATTTGTATTAATGAAAAATTATTCACGCATTTTCAGGTAATGGACTCGGTGTCTGTAAGCGGTGGTGGAAGTTACGGCGGTGCGGGGGGTGCCGGTCATTACGGCACTTACGGACATTATGGAGCCGCGGCGTACCAACCACAGCCAACCTATATGGTTGAGCCACAAATGGTCGACGCTCCACCACAAGTTGCTGCCTATTTGGGACCGGTAAGGGTCTAGTTTCAATTAATTTTTTTTTGCAACAAGGACTTGAAAACAAGCTAATGGTATACCTGATGAAAGTTGGCAACCATTGACTATGGACATGTACAGTGGATATCACAGAATACATTGACACCAATGGTACACTATGTGTTGCTATTTCTAAGGACTCCGTATGTTATGATGCTATTCCCTATAATTTTCTCTGCCATATCTCACCTTTCAACCTGAAACAGTCATGTATGCAGATGCTTTATATGTGGAAAAGAGGTATGCTTTGATAAACAAAATTTCATATGTAAAAAAATCCCAATTTATTACTATAGTTAATGGTTGTAAATTGTAGGTTTGGATACCAAAGGATGTACTTTCTGTTATGTACTTTAGCACCTTAATTGTGTGATTCTCAGATTAGGATATACATATGACTTACTTCAAATTAAACAATGGATTGATTCTACTCAGAACACGGGATCGTATACGTGCAAGCAATATATTTGCTATAATAGTGTCTATTAATTTACAGGAATATGGCGAGGGGGGAGGCAGTGCATCACCTAGAAGTGCATCTCCTGGGGCTTTACCACAACACAATTTACACTTACAACAAAGGTAAGAAACAGTAATAGCTCAACCATATAAAGTCAACTAACTCATTTAGTGGGGCGTGCATACGCTGTCTTTGGAGGGCTAGTATTTTGAAAATAAGGCAAAGTTGACTATTAGAATATTTATACTTGACATATTTGAGGTCATAATGGACGGTTATGTGTTTACAATTTAGCAATTGGGTCTTTTATGGAATATATTAGCGAGAAGGGAGAAATATTCTGATCATTAATCAATTTTAGTTAATAATTATGAAATGTGACGTTTACATTCAGATAAGCTAGGCGTAACAGACGCACGCAAAAAAAACGTTAACCCTATTACAAACCTATTTTTTTTTATACAACTTAGAATGGCAAACAAGCTGACGGCTCACCTGATGGAAAGTGGTAACCGTCGCCTATCGTCTGTTTCATTTATATTGACTGTTTTGTCATTTTCATTTTATATGAATAAGGAGGTATGAAGATACGGCCATTGTGCATATTATCTTAAGGTTGTTATTCGAACTCATATATATTCTAACAATTTAATGGTGTATAAATATGGTGTGCGATGTTTCTGTAGGTACGACTCGGCGTCGCTGGAGCAGCTGGGGCGGCACTACTGCGTCACGTCCCCGCGCGGCGAGTACGCGGCCGACGGCTACGGCTATCAGCATTACCCGGCCGCGTACGACCCGCCCCCGCACCAGCCGCCGCCCTTCAAGGTATCACCACTACCTAGGGTTGCCAATAGTTCCCATGCCAAAGCACAGTATGTTACCTGTAAATAAAAATACCATTAATAACAAGTCACATTCATACATATCACCTTCTCGCTGCTGTGAAAAATAAGCACCCGAAACACTATCAAAATAAATTACGCGTGCCCAGAATTAAATAGCTAGACTAGAGATTTATGCTGTATCAAATCGCAGCTTAAGTCAATTAAGACGCTTAAGCTTAATACTCATCTCTTAATCGCGAACCAAATAATATTGGAAAAAAAAAGCACAATATGTATAGCCTTCCTGCAATTGCCAACAGTCGCAGTTAGACTTTGCATACTAGTGATGGTTTAAGAGCGACACTGCTGCCTATCCCTCAGCCACTAAGTTTCCTTAGTTGCCTCTTATGATACTCATTGGAATGGAAGGGATGGCCCATTCGGGACCACATGGCAATAATTACAATTTATACATACATAATAATATAATCTATACGTTATTGCAATGAAATTTATTACTTCTAATACTATTTACTTTTAAAAAGGTTTTCTTTTATTTACATATAACTAGGTGTTATATGTACGCTCTTTTGTAGTTAATGTTTGAACGAGTATTTAACATCTATTTATCGCATATTTATCTTTTTGTGGTACAGGTTACATAGTGTTATCTCTGTCACTTATTTGAGATATTATTTCGTTAGCAATCATTCGATTATCTCTTTCTAAACATTCAAGATGGACGATTAGAAAAGATCATCACCAACGAATTATATTATTTATTTTTTTAACACGAAACCAAATTTTGTCTCAGGAATCAGAGTATATATTGCACTAAAACATACAGTAACAACAATAAGTTAATAACAATGTTAGCAAAGGTGAACTTATCTATATATATAACTATACTTAGAGTATGATAGGGTTGACTTACCTAAAGAAGGTAAAAGACCTTAAGATATAAAGAAAAATTTAGTGTTTGATAAACTTTGCAACAGATTGGATATTAGTAATGTGTTGACAGTACTAAATAAAAACACTAGATACTGGAAAGGTCATCATATTAAGATGTAAATGTTTATCACTTATTTTTAATATATTTTTCATTTTATTTTACAGGACTCGCAAAATGGACTCAGCCTAGGCAGCGCGGGTGGTCAGTCGATGTATGGTGATGAAGAAGAACTACAGAAGCAAATGGCAGGAATGGCCTTAGGTATGTACATATTACGATTTGTAATTAACATATCAAATCAAACTTCGCCTCGTGTCCTCAACGACCATTTTTGGCATCTATTTAGTCATAGCATTGAAATGGACAAGTGAATATCGTTTTTTTTGTTGAGTAGCTTTTATTTCTTATTAGTTTATTTTAAATATGTATAAAAAATAACGCAAAAGATTAAATTAATAGTTTACTTTCAATTCAAATAAAATTATGCTTTATTATTTAAATTTAAGGTATCTTAATTATCGAAGTAATTTTTAGTAACAATATTGTTATAACTCCAAGAATTGACACAATAAAATAAATAAATGAATGACAAATTTCACAGATTCATATGCAGTGCACGGCGTGGGCGTGGGCGGTGTGGGCGTGGGCGTGGGTGGGCGTGAGGACGGCGGCGGTCTGCAGTGGCGCGACCCCAACCTGCCCGAGGTCATCGGCTTCCTCAATTCGCCCTCTGACGTCGTCAAGGCGAACGCCGCTGCCTACCTCCAACACCTCACATATATGGACGATCCTAACAAGCAGAAGACGAGGAGTTTAGGTGTGTGCATTTTAATTAAAAATTTTTTTTTATGTTTAATATGTTTATGCCAATTCTAAATCGATTTTGATAAATTATTTTTCAATCTATAGGGTTTTCTTTTTTTTTTCGTAGTGATAATTTTGTTTTGAAGTGAAATGAATATTTATTTGTCAAAACATGATGAGTAAATAGTTTTTTAAACAAAGTCAAGCATACAAAAGTCTTGTATGCTGTTGAGACAAAGTGTAATAGAAGTGTGGTAAAAAGCAAAATCCAATGATACTGTTAATGAAATTTAATTTTTAATCAACTATAAAGTATGGAAATTTTATATTGATCAAAAATATGACTGTCATCATGGTAGTATTAAAGATTTTCAAATTCTTTATATATATCATAAATATCTTTAATTTTAAAAATTTATTTAAGTATTTGGTAAATCCACTGTAAGATAGAGCTATAAATCTATTTAAGACATTATATATGTTTAACACGCGACGATGACGTGTGCGCAGGCGGGATCCCGCCACTGGTGCGGCTGGTGTCGCACGAGAACCCGGAGGTGTGCCGCAACGCGTGCGGCGCGCTGCGCAACCTGTCCTACGGCCGCCAGAACGACGAGAACAAGCGCGCCATCCGCGACGCGGGCGGCATCCCCGCGCTCATGGCGCTGCTGTGCCGCGCCGCCGACATGGAGGTGACGCCGCCCACTCGCTACCCGACCGACCCACCGACTGGCCGACTGGCCGATCAATCCATCCACTGGCCGATCAATCGACCAATTGACCAATCAATCGACCGACTGACCAATCAATTGACCGTCTGACCAATCAATCGACCGACTGACCAATTAATCGACCGTCTGAACAATCAATCAACCGACTGATCAATCAATCGACCAGCTAACTGATCAATCAATCGACCAGCTAACTGATTAATCGACAGAATGACCTATCAATTAACTGGCTGATTAACAAATTGACTGAATGACCCACCAATCGATGGATTAGTCAACCTACCTGGCGTACGATGTTCAGAATGATGAGAACAAGAATTTCATCTATAAATTAACGGCATATAGGATCGCATGATGCTTTTACATTGCGTCATTTAACCAACTTATCAATCGATTGACCAATCAACGTGTCGACCAAGTGACTTAACTATCGTCAGATTAACCAATTATTCGACTCACTAATCGAAGAACCTGAGTATACGCACGGCCGTCAGCATGTTAACAAGCTAACGTTTAAGACTTAGAGCAGTAATCAATCAGATCTTAGAACGATTAGAAAAAGCTCATGTAAATCAATTAGAAGACTATAAATTGAAATATTGAATGTTGTTCATCTTGTTGACGTAAAGGTTATTGTCTTGAGAGATAGAGAGAGAAAGAGAATATATTTTACTTGGTGTTACAAATGAGGGTTATAACTTCATTTATATGACTTATTTCTTTCTTATATAATTGTGTGTCATATTTAGAATAATAACGGCCCATCTTTAATGGTATTGATAATAATTTTTCGTTTTATTAGGTGAAGGAGTTGGTGACTGGAGTCATATGGAACATGTCGTCGTGCGAAGATCTGAAACAGTCAATAATAAACGATGCAGCTCAAGTGATTGTCAACAAAGTCATCATACCGCATTCCGGGTGGCATCCCACCAATCCTGGTGACACTTATTGGTCTACAGGTTAGTTGAATTTTTAACAATAGGTATTATAATTTACTTTATTTGCTATTATTTGTCACACTATATTGAGAATTATACTTATACTTAAGGTACTGCTTTCGAATGGTGTAGAATGAACAATTGTAAAAAACTAATAAGTGTTATTTCTCTATACTTTGTAACTTAATTACTATATCCTTTCTTTTAAAACGAGGTACAGTCATGCGAGCATAGCTGCTTCACAGTAAAAACACGAGTGAATCAGGGTTATCCCATATAAATGACTTGTGTACAGTCTCCCTTATTTTAGGTATCTTTAGTCATATGAGTGAGTCTTTATCAACATGAGTAGTCCATGTTGATTGATCTTCGGAGCAATATAATCGCGAGTAATAGTTCGTATGTAACTGGTATCGGCGAAGATATGTGACCGAGGATAGACTTAGTATAGCTGAACCATTAGTGATGGTGTTTGTGTGGGTGCGCAGTGTTCCGCAACGCGTCGGGCGTGCTGCGTAACGCGTCGTCGGCGGGCGAGTACGCGCGGCGGCGGCTGCGCGGGCTGGCCGGGCTCAGCGAGGCGCTGTTGCACGCCGTGCGCACCGCCGTCGCAGTCAATGCCATCGGCACCAAGATCGTCGAGAACTGCGTCTGCGTGCTGCGCAACCTCTCCTACAGGTGCAACATGCAACATGCAACACCGCACGCAACGTGCCACATACAATATCCTTAATAATTGAGAGCAAAATATACGTGGACTTAATACCATATGGTGATAAGTCCGTTTACATTGTCTAGGTATATTAAAATTTAATAAATAAACAAATAAACATGGAGTGGCAAAAAAGCGAATGCCTCACTTGACAAAAAGAGGTAACCGAATTTTATAAAAATGATCAACATCATTCCCTTTTACTTTATGTGTGAATTTCAGATAAAGAAAAACCAATCAAATAGATCTCTTTTAGTTGGGGCATCAAAATAAACGATATGCTACTTTTATGTTTTACTTTCAGGACCACAACTTTGAGAAGCACATTCAATTTGGTACAGTAGTTACATATTGACAGACAGCCAAAATTATTATTTTGGCATTGATTGCTCTTATTAAAACCCCCTATATTAAGTTAAATATTTCCCATATATATACACCATCTAGTTACGTTTTGATTAAATTAGTAAGATTCACCATAAAGACAGCTATCAAGAAATATCTATATTTGATTATCCCATTTTTAGATTACAGTTGTGAACACAATTTTTTATCTATAGATGTCAAGAAATTGAAGACCCGTTTTACGACACAAGAGCACCACCCACACAGTCATCAGGGCAAGCTAGAATACAGGCTAGTGCTTCCAAAGGTAAGTAAATTGGTATACATCACAGATAAAATATTTTGTAGAGACGTTAGACGTCTCTACAAAATATTTTATCTAATGTGTATGTAATCTATGTATATCGTATATATAAGTCATATAAAAATATATTAATTATCGAAATCTTTTATTTAATTAAAATCTGTATTGTAAGATAAAAATATTTTGATCTAGAATATTAAATTAAGAAGGGTGAAATTGAAATCGCCATTTAATAGTAATTTCAAGATAAAGAATCGTTTGTTACGTAATTTTAGTTCTAAATTATTTGAAATTAAAATATGTCCTTACTTTTAAATATTTAAAAAAATACCTATATTTTTTCAATTCTCGGTGTTGTCTTTACGTTATTTAACTTTATAAACTTTTACTGCTGTGATGGTTGTAGGTGCATGGTGTGATTAAATAGTAGATATTTCTGTTAATTGTATATTAATTTTATTTGCATCATGCAGGCGAGAATCTCGGTTGTTTTGGTGGCAGTAAAAAGAAAAAGGAAGGCTCATCATCATCAAACTCGACTAGCCCACTTGGAAAGAGTGAACCGGAGAACCAACCACTGGGGGACACCACACCGGACCCACAGCTCGGGTACAGTGTACCCAAGGGTACTGAAATGCTGTGGTCTCCTGAGGTTAGTTATAAAAAATATTGTACAGTGCCTCAACACTAAACTACATGTTTAGCTTGCTAATTTTCTGTTCATTATCCTGTGTGGAGAAGGGTTGTAATGAAATTTGGTTATTACTTAGTGATCTAGAAATCGCTAAGTTTTGATCCAAATAATATGTAAGTTACAATTGACTTAACAAAAAAGGATGAGAAAATTTTCTGTTACTTCCATCCTTAATAATAATACTTCCATTTTCGTAACCAATGACACTGACAGCTCACTAGCGAAGGACGATAGCTGTGAATAAAGACTGGTCATATGGTTCAATATGACAAATTCACCATAAATTAACCGTGATGGTTTGGACTTAGTGGGGAGTATTTAACATTTAATTGATGGATCCTTTATAATAGATCATGAGAAATGGATATAGTCTACTATTATAAGGTTGACCACGTAGTTTAGTATAGGGTTTAAAATCGAGTTTTTTTTTTTGTATTGGTGTATTGTGCTTTTTTCCCTTAGTCGCCATCTTAAAAACTTTGATGGTGTAGTCGTTTAATATACAGCTGCACTTTTCGATCGTCGCGGGTACGATCTCCGTACAATACAAACATTTATATTCATGAGTATATATGTTCGTGTTGGTGTTTTTTGTGGGTGACAAAGAAAACCAGGAATGGAAATAGGAAATATATGTATTATATTAATTGTTTCATTTTGGGAAATATATTTTTGTAAAAATATAAAGATTAAATTGTTAGATTCATGTTTTGGTATGACAATGCAAGAATAAAGCTGAAGTCAATTACAAGATGGCGGCTAATCGACCGGAAATAATAATTAATAAATTGACAATCAAAAATTAAACGCGCGTGAGGTTCGTAAACTGTCATGTGTTTGATTCGAAGCGTTGACATTAATCAAATAAGTTTAGAAAACCAGGGTTGTGAAGGGGAGTCAAAGGGAGTAATAGAAAGATGTGTCAATTTTAAATTTGGAAGATAATAATATAAAAAACTATATATAAGTGGCCTGTACTCCAGTTTTCTTTTTTTTTTTTTGTAAAATAATAATGTTTTTACTGCATTACTTGCCCGCAGGTGGTACCTCTATATATGGCGCTGCTACAAACGTGCTCGAACCCTGAGACGCTGGAGGCAGCGGCGGGCGCGCTGCAGAACCTCGCCGCCTGTTACTGGCAGCCCTCCATCGACATCCGTGCCGCTGTCAGAAAGAGAAGGGTACGTTATTTTCTAAATAAACATATATATGAATATAGGGTGAAAAAACATTTGCAGTTTAGAATGGTAAAAAAGTTAACTCACTTGAAAGTTGGTTGGGAATATCATACTCTGTGTTACGCATGGTACCCCTTCTGCGTTGCTATTCCTATGGACTATAACGTTATTAACTGAAACAGCCATGCAAACAAGGCTGTTTCTCAGTACAGGTACCCAAGCAGATAAGCGAATATAGCGCCTTCTTTATCTAGTAGCTTTTTATTTTGTATTCATCATTATCATGTCAACCATTAAGTGTCCACTGCTGAATATAGGCCACCCCCAATGGGGGGTTTTGCCAGTAGTTACGTTTGGCAGGCGGGTTGGCAACCGCAGTTAGGTTTTGGTGAAGTTTTAATAAGGACGCTACTGCCCATTCTTTAACTATTAAGTTTCCTTAGTTGTCTCTTATGACACCTATGAGAAAGGAAGAATTTGTTTTATATATATATATAAAGTGTAAACGCTAGCATAATGATGTGCAGGTCTACCAATTCTGGTGGAGCTGCTGAGGATGGAGGTAGACCGCGTAGTATGTGCGGTGGCGACGGCACTGCGCAACCTGGCCATCGACCAGAGGAACAAGGAACTCATCGGAAAGTACGCCATGCGGGATCTCGTGCAGAAACTGCCAAGTGGGAACCAGCAGCATGATCAGGTATCCGCTTCTCACAAGCCACCAATAGTTGTATGTTGTTGTATCAACCGTTAACTGTCTACTGTTGGACATAGTCTCCCCCATAAGGGGGGTTTTGCTAGTAGTTGCCACGCTTGGCATGCGTGTTGGCAACCGTAGGCATTTGGCTTTTGGTGATATTTTATGAAGGACGCTGCTACCCATCCTTCCACCGTAAGCTTCTTTAGTAGCCTCTTACGACATTCACGGGAAAGGAACGGTGGCCAATTCTATGCCGTGACCACAAGGTAGATTCAGCACAGTAATTTATAATAAATCAATGGATTGTTACGCTTAGGGTACGTCCGACGACACGATAGCAGCGGTCCTGGCGACGCTGAACGAGGTGATAAAGAAGAGCGGCGAGTTCTCGCGGTCGCTGCTGGAGGCGGGCGGCGTGGAGCGGCTGCTCAACCTCACCAAGCAGCGCCACCGCCACACGCCGCGCGTGCTCAAGTTTGCCGGTACGTTAATAATTATAACTGGTTTTTTGTCCGCTGTTTTGTACGCGTGGATTCCAGAAGTAGAGGAATCAATAAAATAAATCACTTTTAGTTAGCATATCGAGATAAAATACACCAGTTTTGAAGTTACATCACTTTTAGAGGTTGTCTCAAGATAAAACATCAATTTTTAACTTACATCAGGAGCACAACAGTGAAAATCACATCCAGTTTTATGCAGTAGTTTTTGTGTGACGCCGAAACTAATATACATGTAGACAAAATTTCTAAAAATTATTGTTTTGGCATCTATTGCTTTTATTAAAACTCCTTACATTATTTTTTCTTAAATATCTTCCATGTGCAAACATTACCTGGTTACAATTCTCAACTAACTTCAAAAAGAAGGGTGTTCTCAATTTGATTGTTTTTTTAATGTTGATAAGTCTGCAAGTTATAACCCGATTTGGAAAGTCCCATTTTTTTTATTTGGAAAGATATACTTACAGATTGATTTCATTTTGTAGCATTTGAAGTCAGTTATATATTTTTTTCGAATTCAATCTTATGTCCAGTACTTACGTGAATTTAAAGGTTGTTAACGTAATATTATAATTATAGTTAAGCCCGTTAGTAGTGATGCTGACAAGGGTACGTCATGTGCACACAGGCCAAGTACTAATGACGATGTGGTCGCACGCGGAGCTGCGCGAGGTGTACCGCAAGCACGGCTGGCGCGAGGCCGACTTCCTCACGCCTGCACGCGCCGCGCAACCGAGAGGCTCTTCCAACAGCAGTGGTCAGTATATTATATTATTTTTAAAATTTATTGAGATTTTTTACCAATCTAAACTAATATTATAAAGAGGTCGAGAGAGATTTTTTTTTGTTTGAAATTGATAAACACAAAACATAGTCAACCGATTTTTTATATTGTTTCACCTATAAAAACTACATTTTCGACTAGTAACGTAGGCTGTATTTTGTTAAAAAAAAAAAAAACAATCGGGTACGGGTTGTTAGTAACTAGAAAGAATTTAAAAACAAGCGAATTCGTCGATGAAATCGACATCGCTAGCGAGTCCGTGAATTGGAATGAGACATCCAACGTTGCTATCTCATTTAAGCTCTAATATAATATTATTGGTAAATGGCATATCAACCAGAGACACTTTTGATTAATAAAACTGAACAACATTCCTTAAGAAATACAGTCGGAATATTTTATAGGTAATTGTTTAGATAAACAATTTTAAGTGAAATATATGTAGTTATAAATTCTAATTTTTTTAGATCGGCATAATTCAGACTCAACATAGTGTACGATCACAAAGCGAATCGAAGAACACTTCTTTGTAAATACATTTGCCTGACTCCACTGTTCACGTGTGTAAATGTTGTATCGTGTACAGAATGCCTAGTTTTAACGTGTTCATATCATAACTATATCATAGTCATGCTGATAATCACTCTAACTAGTAACCGCCTAATACAGTAACAAATTTACCTACTTACTTACTATTTAAGTAAACTTTTCCAGGTCTAAACAAAATTGGCCATATTTTATACACACTTGTTTTAAACTCTTGACGACAACAATGTTTAAACGTTGGATAAAAACAGATTTTTCACTTTTAATTCCTGTATAATGTAACATATACGCGTAACTCATAATTTTACCTTTAAGTTTTACTATGGCCATGGAGTCACCTCTAACTTGTCGTACACTTTGTCTGATATTAGGGGTGGGTAATATATAGCAATATCTATATATCTTATATACAATATCTATATACTGGTTCATAACGAACATGTTAGAAGTCTGTCATCCAAAAATTTATATTGGATAACTGACTTTAACATATTCGAAAATAGATATCCGACCGATATTGGCGATATCGAAATGAGTGATGACCTTTTTTCTGCTATCAATGTCCAAAGAAACCCAATATATAGATATCAATCGGTATCTATATTACTCATGCCTATCTGATACAGGTTTTGTAATGAGAGAAAAAGCGAATAATATAAAAGATATATAATTTTCATAGATGAAACATTGCTTTTGAGAATCTTCAAATTTAATTAGTACCGTGATTAGTTTTCTAAGCAAATTTAAATAAATTGTATTAGCTTTTAGTGATTTTATTATTTATTAGATGAAGAATGTGCACTAATGCGTATTATGTTCGCTTTGTCTCGCATTGTTTGACTTGTATTTGCATATATTGTCATTATATTAACCCGTAAAAGGAAACCTCATATAGTCTGGTCGTATTTGTCAAGTTTTCGCATTGAATTTTTAGTTTTGTATCGAATAACGGTATTAAGAGACTTTAATTCCATATAACGAAACTGCGTATTGCACATGTATGGTTAAAAATTTAAGACTGTCAGAACACATGGGTGTTTACCCTAAAGTAAGTAACTAAACTAAGAAGTAGATCGGTTATGACATTTACGGCTAGGCATAGTGTAAGGGTACGTTCAGATGACAGACGTTAAACGCACGTTGAGAGTGTGTTAAGTTGCTGTGTAGTGTATGCCTGCTATTACAGTAAATCTAACATAATAAATAAAAAAACTATTTACGCGTTGATTTACCAACTGTACGTTACATTAAAATATAACTGTACATTAAATCTATGAGTCAACATGCATTAAATTTCGCTAATATGTAGTAATAATACAATGTACGGTAGCTCAGTATCAATAGTTCTGTGTCGAACGCTCGTCGGCATATCGTGAACACCTCTATCATCTGGTTAGTGCGTTCGTTTACCGTCTGTCACGTGAACATGGCTAAATGCCGGATGGCGCTTCGGTTGTACATTGCGCGTGGTGGTTGTACGCGGCAGCAGGGCAGGGCACGCCGTCGTCGGCGGCGGGCGGCGCGCCGCACTCGCCCAGCAACGCCAACAGCACGCTCAGCCGGCCCATGGCCTCCACGGGCGGCACGCGCTACGAGGACCGCACCATACGCAGGCATCGGGAGGTACTGCACACTGGACACCATACACCATACATCGTACAGCAAGCACACGACGACAGAAACACGCACACACTACTACTGGCACGCTCGTCTACACGCAACGCACGTACACGCACGCACCCATGCACGCATGCTCGCACACTAACTTTTAGTAGATACAGTACAGAACAATGTTTTTTTTTTTTATTATTGTTTATGAAGGTATATTAAAGAACAATTATTGGGTTGGAACACATTTTATTTTCCTATTATATCGAGACGATAAAATTGTACGATATCGCTCACGTTATGGTTCATTATATTAACGTATTTTAATGTTCCATAGCTTCTGTCTACTTCTAAAATAGTAGTCAGGTGTGATGTTTTATGTGTATAGAAAAAAAATCTTAGATTGTTAAAAGATAATAGTTTGAATTCTATGAGATCGAGTTAATAATTAAGTGTATTAAAGGATTTTTTTTTAATAATATTGAGAATTTCGAAAATCACAGTTATGCATACAATGTAACATTATTTTATATTCTCAAGCGAGAGATTGAGAGCGCTATGAATCGTATAGCGCAATCTTATTTGCAATCGACTTAGCGTTGCTATTGTGGGCTTTTATCTTTCCTTTTTTATTCGTTTTGTGATGACAGCTATTTGAAGGGTGGGATTCACAGTGCTTTTTTACGTACATGAATATGTTAATGCGTAATAAATAATCTAATTTGTAATCTAATTTTTTTTCTACTATTTTATTTGGTTTTGGTATCGTATTTTACAAATGGTTTTTGCAACGTAAAAAGCAGTGACTTTAATCGTGGCAAAATTAATGTGAGACTAAAACAAAGATTCTGTCGATTGCAAAAATAACTATTAAAATCGGTTTAGGACTGGGGAAGATGTTGTGTTATAAGTACAAGTATTTACTTTGGTGTACTATTTTATTTTTAAACGACTGCTTGCATTAAAAAGACAAGTGAAAGAAAACAGATTAATAGCTACTAAAATCAGATTCATAATATTAATCTATTAATATATAATGGCATGCATGACACTCATACATACATGTACAGCTTCTTGTATAAGATACTCTAAAGATTTCATATGATAGGTACATTGGTAATCAGTTTATTGTATCAAGGTAATATAATGAGCTTAAAATTATGCAGTGATTGCACTTTCCATTAGATGGGCCGTCAGTTTATTTACCATTCGAATTATTAAAAAATAAACACTCAAATTTAACTTTAAGATACATACAGTCTAAAATAAGTACCCTGTGAATAATATGATAGGATTTTTTTTTTCATATAGCGCTACTTTATAGTTATATATTGTTTTCTGGTTTTGCTTCAGCCTTGTGATAATAAAGCATGTTTTGGTTTTTTATTATTGAAATTTTACATTGAAAGACCATATGATCGAATATGGATAAAGTGTTTCATTGTAAACTAGCGAGAAGTCTTCACGTTACCGTGTTGGGCTCGTATTTACATCAAATTGACTTTGCCTTATATTTGACGTTTACTTAATGAATCAATATGAGTATAACATATTCAATTTGATCCCTACACAATTCCGTCAAATGTCACTCCGTTTATTCTTATATAACCAACAAAGAATAATTTCCAGAACGATGACATGCCAGCGATGGACGTGAACAGCTATCAGGACGGACTCGGCATGGGCAACCCCAACGGGCGGCCTATGAACCTTCAGGGCGTCCAGGCACAGATGCCGCCACCGAGCAGCCGTTAGTCTGCACTAGGTGAGCCTCGACCGGCTTAGCTAGTCGCCACTCACTCACAAACGAAATTGAAGGCTTCGCGAGGAGTCCCAACATCCACCATAATTTAATTAAGATTACTCTTAAATTGATGTGCGGTAATTTTTTTTTGTGTAATAAATTATTTTTGTTCCTTCCTGTATCAACGCTGTATGAATTATTAGAAAAAATCTTGTACTTTTACTACGAATTGGAGACAGTTATGCAGAAAACAGCCTTCTCTTATCGGTATCCCAAATAATTTTGTTGTTTTCTATAAAATTAGCTCCAATTGTTAGGTTTATTTGCTGTTATAAATTATACAAAAAAATTGTCATAGAACTCATTGGTTATGTCAATTATTTGATTTTGCCTCTCGAACACCGAGAAAAAACATTTTTAACCTACTACAGATATTTCTAAAAAATAGAAACTAAATAGATGAACATTTGTAATACTCATAAATGACTTGTAATATCTTTAATGATGATATTGACTATGGATATGTAAAGGTAAAAAAAAAAAAATGATATTAATAAATAAGCAATTATTAAAATTACCCCATTAGTCCATTGCGTGCAATGGTACAGTCATTTGTAATAATATGTAAAAACTAAGCCGTTTACCATTAATTTTACTGATAATTCGAAATATTTTCTTATACAGTTGTAATTGTAAACGGCTAAAGCGATACAAGTGTTTAATTGCATGTACACCACACAGGGTTTGTGTTTTTAGATCTTTGTATTGACTATCGTCGGGTACGCAAGCTTAACATATTGTAACCTATAATATCTAGTTCTCTCCAATATTTGATATAGGAGGCATATACTGTAATGCATGTAGTCTTCTTTCCATGTCTATAGTGAGACAAACAAGAGCATATTTATAAACAGGCTGACTAGAGAAGTTGTCGCAAGCTTCAAAAGGATTGCTCCCGAATGAAAGAATTATTTCGCTTCGTGCGCAGTAGCACCTAGGTAGTAGTATATTTTGATTGCCGGCCCTGACTAACATTGTTATGGTGGCCTTTGTTAATGCGTTCCATTTAGAAGACTGTTTTGTTTGCCACTCTATATGAACTCTTGTATGAAGTATCTGCGAATACAGCCTTGTTCAACTTGTGTACCGGACACTGTGGTCCATCCTGTATTTTAATAAATTGTTTTTTTTTATTACTACATAATATTAATTCAAATTTTGCTCATCTGTCTCAAAGTGACTATTGTTTTTCTATATACATTGTTAATGTGGTAATACAATTGCTACCTTTAGATGGTGGGCTTTACGTAAATTTATAAAATCTAAAAGATTTATGGACAAAAACTTTGTGAAAGTGGACATAGTTGCAAAAAATTAAAGTAAAAAAGGAAATAATAATAATAAGGAATTTTTTTATTGATGGTCCGAAAAAAAAGTAAGTAAAAATAAAGGCATTCGAGAACGATACTATTAATTGATGATAGTATCCTTGGGTTTCGAGTGAGTATGCATTTTTTACCACAGTGCCATTCAATAAAACATGTTTTTTTAATTGTCTTTTTTACTTAAATTTTTCATAATTAATATTAATTAATTATTTAAATTGTAAAATTGTAATAAATTTACTATGATTTGTTATATTTTCTCGCGAAGTCATACTATTGAAATTAAATGAGAGGAATTATGCACAAGCATATATTTATGTCATAATTATGACAGTAGTATTTTCCCGATATTTTCCTAACGATGGTAATGGTATGCCTATTCCTGATAGGGTCAAATCACATATGTTTACATCTATTCGCTTTAACTCGCAATTATTTACATTATGTTACCATTTTTATGTGCAAATATCATAAAATTAATATGTTCTATATTGCGTTTAGTTGCTGACACGTGTGTTTTGTCCCTTATTGTACAGTTATTTACAATAATTTCTCAATAATAGATATTGAGCTATAGTAACTAGATATCGCTTTATTTATTTCACACAATGGTATCTTGTGTAATCTTTTAAATTATAAAATTTATGATTATAAGAATCATTCATAAATCATTGTAATGTAATTATTATAAATTTTGGTTTCTGTTGGAAACATTTATAATGAAATTATTGATATGACTGTACTATTAAATATTTAGAGCTTTAATGATACTGTAATTCAATTAGTTTATCTCAGATTATTTAAGGGTTTGCGCAGACGCGACGCAAGTGACAAATCAGTTTAATGACCTTTCCGATGGTCGCGATTTCGATTCTCACACGATTTAATTAATATTTTTTTTTATATTCATGAGTATTTCTGTTTGTATTGGTCTCAGTGTTTATATGATAAGTAAAAAAAAAATTAGTATACTGTTACAATGTCTATTTTGTTTAACCTAAATGACGCTAAGTAATTAGTCCAGTGGCATATATTATAAATATTTTTTTTAAAAAAAACATGAAATTATAAGCTTCTTGGGATCCCCAGACTGGAAGAAGCGTTTTCTATTTTTTATATTGTTGTGGGCAAAAAATAGATAGATAGATACTCTTTATTGTTTCCTCCATAAGATTACTATAGTAAACTTATTATAAATACAAAGAATTACAAGAAAATATTACATTAAGAAAACAATGGGTGGCCTTATCGCTAAGAGCGATAATACGCCGAGGCTTGTCTCTAGTTTGCGCAGACTCTCTATTTATTTATAAAAACTAAAGTATTCTATAAACCTAATTTAACTATTACGTGTTTTGCCACTTTCTTACATGTTAGAAATTTACCTTAAAATAGAAAGGCAAAACAGTTTAACAGTTACAATTAGATTTATTACACGTTAGAGGTTTTTGTAAATAAAGCGGTGAATATGTATTATTAAGGTTCTAAATACCGTGTCCATTTATAGCGTAAAGGCCTAATGTTAAATTCATTTACCGCCATTTTATTTATGGAGCGATCATGTCAATTCCCAATGTATATACTCGTGCCATTCGTGTATTTTTAATATATATAAAACAAATGGGGGTTTCATGTAGTGTTGTTTAACGAATTTTCTATTTGATCGGGACTCATCGGTATTGTAATAGAATACAGGTCGTTCGATATTTCGAACAATACATCCATGGTTTTGTGTATATAATATTATATACACACGAACAATTGTGGTTAACATTTAAACTGTTTGTGTCGAATAGGTATCGCACGGTGTATTCTTAATAACCTCTAAATATAACGATGTAACAAGTTAATAACAATTTATAATATTCGAAATTTGAATATTACTGTTATTATTTATTAACAATTAGTTTTGTAGTGAACACGTAGCCGGAAGCGGTAAATCGAAGGACGTATTTTTTGTCTCGTTCCAACGCTGCGCGCGCGAGGAGTACGGGTAATACGGTCGATTTCGAAGTCAGTGGCTGAATAGTTTATACGATATAGAGTTTTGTAATATTTTGTATCCATTCCATGACCCTTTATGAATAATTGTAATATAGGTGTCTATGTCCTCTTATTGTATTAAGGAATATCCGTCTTATATTTAGCGTAAGATGCATTAATCATGGGACGTTTGTGTAAGCTCTCAGATGTTTCGTTTTTAGGCGGTGTGTGTATTTTGGGAGGGACAGTGCAAAATTAATGCGGCACCCCTACTACGGCGCTGATACGATATGATTGGTCAAGTGGATAGCAAGTGAGAATTGACGTATGGTTATAACGTTAATTATGCAATAAAATTCTTATTAAGCTGGCACTATACATTTGGATTTTGATGGGAAAAATGTATTTTAAAATTTATTAAACAAAATATGAAGTAGGTGCAAAGTTTTTGATGTTAGATTTATATGCAATGTACTTTATGATTTTCGTTGTCGTTCATTAACACAACACTTTTTAAATTATCAATTAGAATTATAGAAAAATGTTTATTTGTCTTTGAAAAATGACAGACGATTCCAACGTTGCCATATTTCGGTAAATTAAATTATGAATGTTCTTAAAGCATAGACAAATATTCGTATCTTATATCGTTTGTTTGTTTGTTACACTTAATAAAGACTTAAATTATAGAATACAAAGGTGTTAAGAAAAGAATGCGTACTATGGCGGACTTATTCCTTAAAGGAATCTCTTCCAGTCAACCTTTGAATGTCTGATAAAATTGTGAATTAACGGAGAGGAGAAAAATAACTAATTAAAAAAAAAAAAAGAAAAATACTTGGTGTTCCATTTACAACACGAGCACAACATTGATACAATCGTCTTTTTTCTTATAAATTGATTCCTTGTATGTACTTAATAAGTTCATCATAAGAGATTATTTGTAAATGCAATTTATTTTACAACACGTAAATAGAAATAAATATTAATTTGTCATATATTTAAAATAGCGTAAATACATATGGAATCTTTGTGTACAAATGTTTATATGCTCTCTAAAGTTTATTTATTCTATTCGAAATACAGTGTTTCGGTTTTGTTTGATATTGCACTTAAAGTGGATATCATCGACTTGAAACTAGTAGGGGCGCCGCAAAAAGCCTTGCATTATTAATCCCAAGAATATGTCATAACGTTGACACTAGGTTATAGTGCAGCTAAACCATATCTACGTGTTATTAAGAGCGTTGCTGATCATGATACGGTTACGCCATTTGTAATATTGTATACCATATTGAGTGAACCTTAAAAACAGTGGTATGTACTAATTCCTTTATTGATAAAAACTTTAAACCTCTTATAAACCTATTTTGGCTATTGTAATGTTTTGTCTTTTTCTTCTGCGCTATTTTCGCCATTTGACAGACACTGACAAAACAGTTTAATAGTTAACATAGGTTTGTAACACGTTTTAGTTTTCATGAATAAGGTGGGTCAAAAATATGCGAAGTTCGGTGCCTGCATTTGACTAGTTTTGATTGAACCCTACCAGTTTTATTTAAATTATTTCTATTTATAAATTTTTGTAAAAGGAGAATATAAAATGGGTAATATAGAGGGCGTAGTCGTGCACTCGTCGCGTTGACAGATGGCGCCACCGTCCCCGCATCGTACCCATGAGCATGATATTGTGAATGCAGCTTTAAAAGTGTTTATTTCGGTTGATTTCCCTCCGTCGTCGGTTTTACTTTTAGTGTAATTATTTATTTTACATTAACGTGTAAGGTTTAAATTTTATTAGATGGTAATAAATATAAGGGTTTTGTGAGGACATTTTTTGGATATATTTTTATGCACAATAATGCATTTTCTATACGTCCGCGGCAGGATGACTTGACTGAGTAACCTGGTACAAACTACCTTCATCCAGTGCATTATAATGATTTAAGTACCCGTGTATGTAAGTTTTTGTATCATATTTTTATTAAAATGTAAGCGAATGTACAACACATCATATACCATATGCTTGCCAGGGCGTCGTCGCTTCTATGAAGTGATTTATAATATAATTTTTCACTGGAATATTTTCCGTGTACTTCGGGTTTTGTGTTAGATTTAAGAGTTATTTAATCACCATTTTTATTTTTTTTTTATTTATCGCCTTTTAGACGTGAGTTAGCAAATGGTAGAGTAGATATATTGTTTCAAAGGTATAAATAGTTTTTTTTTTTATTTTAATATATCATCCGGTTTATGTATGTAAACCCTTGTATAGTGAATCCATGTATTTTATTTAATATTTTTGTTTATTAATATAGAGCTGCCTTTATACAGATCTCTCGAACTTCAAAATTATTTTGTAAGTTGTTGTAGTGTCACCATATTATCCGAGAACTTATCTAGTGTTACACCACGGTTTTAAAATATATAAATGTCTATGGTCAACCATGGGCCATAGTGTTGTTGGAACAGTAATACTCTATTATTTATATTTTATTTAAAATTTTATATTGAAAATTATTTAGCGTGTTCGTTTGTCGTTGCGACATTATAGTAGTAATGTAATGGTTCTTATGTCATGTTGTATGTAGATTTTATAGAGCATTATTCACTCTTGCATAAAGATAATTATTATAATTAAAGAAATATTATTATCACAGAGAATTAAATGAATGATTTTTTTAATTTTCGTTTTCTTTTTTGTTTAACCTTTACTTTTTATTATTTAATTTAGACATATAGGTGATATTATTAAAAAGTGGTTGTTTTAAAAGTTGTATGTATTTTGGAATTTCTAAAATAAGGAGATGTCAATCGGTATTAAAGGATTTGTATGCTTTTATCATCGCAGTATATTTCATAAGTGGCATTATATATATTAACGATTAGTTTAGTTTATCATGGCTTCCATTTTGTTTATTTACCAAAAGTTTCTTTTAAGTAGTCCCCCCCCACACGGTTTTCTAGTTAAAAATTAGGTATTTTTTACCGACTATCGATAATTGGGTACTAGGCAATGTTGTAGTAATATGTACAATTATTATTAATTATTATTATAGTAGTAAAATACGATTTTTTATCTGTTATACTTACCGTGTCATAGAACGAAATGGTACAACGTTGATTTCGTGGTGGAATCGCTTATTGGATTCCATGGTTTTGTGTGAATTATTAAATAAAAAAAAAAATCTTGTACTAATCGAAAATATATGATAAGTGAAATTTCCTATTTGTATGAATGCTCACATTTTATATTTATCAGTAGTGTCCTTAATCAGTTATTGAATTTATAGATGTAATAGGCGTGTTAACCGAGTATGGGGTTAAGTATTAGGGCATGCACGGTTATGGTGATATATATAGGTATCATTTTTTACTCGTACCATCTGACAATGCGGTGTTCTGTTTGCGGACATCGCTAATTACACAACAGTATTATTCAATAATCATGTACCAACGTTGCTAATACACTTACCTACATTTAAATAATTATGCGAGTTTTATTTCTTCCATCCCTTAGATATTGTTATTGTTAATAAATTATTAAATATTATAATAGTGCATGTGGTGTTCGCCTGTAAAAGACTTTTGCATTAGGCAAAATTATTTTTTGTGTTATTAAGTAGCATGTAAAATGTAAAAGTTGTAGGTGAACCTTATTAAATAAATAAATCCACAATGTAATTAAGAACGGTATATAAAAAAACTCGGCAGGTAAATTTAAGTAACATGTTTTGAAATAGGAAGGTAAGGAAGTATAGACGGGGAATAATAAATGGTAATAGTGGGGTCGATTCTGAAGGATAAACCTTTATCTAAAATTAAAATATTAATTTGATATCACAGCGAAATCTTTATTGTGAAAATCAATATCAATTAATTTTCTCATAGTTTTAAGTCAAAATTATTGAAATTGTAATTTGTGATTGTCCATAAAACAATTTCGTGAAATTATCAAATTTATATTTAGGTTATGTAATAGGTTTAGGGAAATGGCGCTTCAGAATTGGTCCTTAATGACATTTGTAGTAAGAGAAGAATGGCAATAAGTACAGAAAAAGGAAAAATAAAAACAAATGCATTCTCAAGTAGGGTTGCCGTCAGGCGTCATATTGGAAGGTAATGGAATGGTAACACCGCCTGCTTTATCGGTATACGCTGGCGAGGCATCAGTGAGTGGTAATAGGTGAGGATAACAACCCGTTCCCCCTGGTTGATTTCAGGTAGGCGGTCGGTTGTAAGACAGTCAAAACAATGAATAATATCGATAAAGTAATATTGCGTCGACTCCAAATATAATAATTGGAGATAAGCAAAATTGTGTCTGCAGATCCAGGCAGTATTGCCGATTAGAGGGTGGCGTGATCAAGATCAAGGTTGTGCAGTATATTTATAAACCCAACATACTGTCATTACTGATTTAAAAAATTGCCCAAAATTTAACCAAACCTAATTTTGTTTTAAGTATTTATTTATCTATTTCAATGGACTAGAAGCTTCGTCTTTGCTATCGATACATCCTGGTACCAGTAAAAGATGATAGGTAAGGATGAAAGTAGGTCAGTTATTCTATCATGATGAATTCAAAAAGAATTAACCACGATGGTTTCCAGGGGTAATGAAGTTCGATCTGATAGGGTATACTGTTAGCAATGGGCGTATTAGAGCCTAATACTAATAATTCCTTTCCCCCTATTCTAAGTAGCTAGGTATATTAAGTACTTAGAATGATTTATTATTATTTATTGCAATTAATAAGTACACGGTATGTAGGTTGGGTTGGGCGTTAGAATTTGATTCACCTCTAAATTACACTTGATAATGTTTATGTTCAAAGGTGTGGTTATGATTTACGCATTAATGCAATATTATTTTGCTAAATGTAAGCAATATAACACACCATATAGAACTATTATAAATCAGCTTGTTTTGCTTTAAACATGGTAAGTGGAATAAATTCCTAAGTCTATTTACGTACATAATGTAAGTACATAAGTAAAGGTTAACATAGTAACGTAAGGGGAAAAAGGGAATGTTAGTAATGGGATCTAACAGTAAGAGTGAGAAATATATAGCAGTATCACCAGAGGGAGACTTTGTACAAAAGTCGATTGCTTGGATACCTCTGTCTCATTCGTGTTTTAACCGTGAAGCAATTGTGTTTGCATGGCTGTGTTTCGGTTTGAAGGGTGGGATATGGCGTGAATTTACTGGGTACAGAGAAATAACACCTGAGTCCTCAGGAATGGCAACGCATGGGGGGCATCATGGGCGAAACAGTATACTCTGTTATGTCCATGGTACTGCTCATGTCTATAGGCGACGGTTACCACTTTCCATAAGGTGGGCCGTCAGCTTGTTTGCCTATATATCTATACATATATTGGCCCAATAACAGATATATTAACTATCGGTTATTATATAATGTCGAAAAGAAGAACCCGCTCATAGTGAATGTAGATATTCTACTGATCTTATCTAGTAGGTATTCGAGTCAGCTGGAGCCGGTACATCACTACTGTCGATTTAGTACTTCGAGCACATCATTACCTAAGTATACGAGTCAACTGGAGTGTGCATATCATTTTTGTGAACTTAGGACCTGATTTAAACTCTTGGATTTTGAATCAGCTATTGAGTGTAAGATTTTTAAGCGATTTTAAAGAACAATATTTTTTAATTTGATTACATTTTTTGTGTGTATGTTATGACGCATCCTAGTCAATTGTAAACCGATTTTGAGAATTATTTTTACAATTAATGGGGCTTACTCTTTTCCTCCAGTTAGTGTTAGGTATATTATTTTTGCTACGACCGACGTGAGTTCTTAAGAGAAAAAAAAATAAAAATATATTGATGATATAGACATATTACAACAAGGTAAGATGACCAAAGAGTGCTTTTACTTCAACTTAGTGAAATTTTTTTTTTGATGCATGATAATGAAATGGTAACTTCACCTTTGCTAACGGTATACGCTGACGGGGCAACAGTGAGGAATGATAGATAAGAATGAAAAAGCAGGTCAGTTTAACCATCGTGATGAATACACCTGGAATTGAGCACGATGATGTCCAGGGAGGAGCACATGGAGGTTTGCTAACAATATACACTTTCAGATCGACAAAGTGAATATTGTTAGCAATGGAATCAGTAGTCCGCATTACTAATAATCTCTTCTATCAACTTAGTGAAGTTGGTATGATAAACCGTGAAATTATACCATAAACTACCCACAAATAATTAAATTCTAATTATCCTCCCCATAAAACTAGCAAAAAGCTGAAATAGCGGTGTGGTGCGAGCAATATTTTCAGGGTAACTGAAGCGGGATTGCAACGTCTTGCCTCGTTTAAACGGATAACTGTTTAAGGTTGTATTTTATTTTTTGCGCAATAAATAACGATGAACCCAACGGGCTAAGCTGCTAAATTAATTATCCTAGAATTGTGATACGCTGTGCGGTGTACAGTTTATTTCTTACTAGTTTTTTAACCGTGATTTTGTTCGCGTGCTCAAGGTATGTTGACGTACAGAGATAAAAAGTAACCTACGTCTTTCTCAACACCAAAAACAACGTGTCTACTAAATTTAATGATAATCAAGAAACACATATCTATTCCTATGTAGGTACCAAGAAGTTTATATTACCTAGTAGGTAGGTATATAGTTTTTTATAATTGATGATAATGGGACGGTAACTCCGCCTACGTTATCGGTATACGCTGGCGGGGTATTAGTGAGGTTTGATAGATGAGGGTGAAAATAGATCCGTTAGCCCATCGTGACGAATTTCACTAGAATTAACCACGATAGTTTCCAATGAGAACCGCGTGTAGGTCGACCTGACCTGATAAATTAGACCCCAATACTAACAATTCCTTTACTTCTAAAAAGGCAGATCAGTTAGTCCATCGTGATGAATACACCTGGAATTTAACGCGATGATTCCCAGGGTGACCACGTGGAGGTTGACCCGACAGGGTATATTGCTAGCAATGGGACTGGTAGTCCACACTAATAATTCCTTCTCCCCTGGTTAGGTAAATTTTTTAGAAAGTCTCTTTTTTAGTCTCTTTTTTTGTTATTTTAGAGGTTTTATTATAACCGGAGAGAAATTTAAGCCGAGTGTTGTCTCTATTATGACTTTATAGCATGAAAAAGCGGGGTAAACGCAAAATCAAATTATGTTATCAAAGAAAAATCCTTCATCTATGCAGGCCATTAACATAATAAAGCAAACGAGATTACAATGGTTCTCAAAGTACCGAGTACAGGTTGCGTTCCGGATTCCACCGCGAACACCTATATATGCCATATTTTATTGATCCTGCAAGCCATAAATAAGCTAGTACATGGCTGTTTGTACAGTTAGCTCGGGGCACCATTAATCTGATCAGGATCTGCGCCGACGATTACGTGCGCCTATAGAAGCCGCCATTAGATCGCGAGATGTTAAAATTACACCTCACTTGCGACTTAAATATACATATATACTTACACATTAATATACTTTAATAATACACGACACGGACGCGATTCGATTCTGTGGAAGTATTGTGGTTTATTGTTAAGAAGGTATTTCTTTAACCGAATTAAAATGTGAGGTTTTTAATTAGATAGATACTCTTTAATGTTTTCTCCAAAAGATTCCAGTAGTAAACGTATAATAGATATAAACAATTACAAGAAATGTTCACATTGAGAAAACAATGGGCGGCTTTATCAATTAGCTTATATTTTTTTGAGCAGTTACACAAAATTGGTTTAAAAATAAATTTTGCATAAATTTCTGGTTGATAGAATTAGCAATGATATCACTCGTATTTTTGTTTAGCAAATCTGTATTTAAAGTTAGAATAAAATACGGATTAGTCAGAATTTAACCATGTGTTTTTAATTACTTATTTTCATCATTACCATTATTAATCTCATATAGGAATTTATTTCAGTCTATTAATAACTTCAAATGATCTGACAGTTTATAGACTACATACCTATACTTACTTAATTTGCTATTTTTTTTAATGGGTGATAATGGAATGGTACCCCCACCCGCGCGATCGGTATACACCGGCGGGACACCAGTGAAGAATGATAGACGAGGATGAAGCAGGTCAGTTAGCCCACCGTGACGAATTCAACAAGAATTGTTCACGATGGTTTCCAGGGGGAACCACGTGGAGGTCGACCTAGTAGCACATATTGCTAGCAATGGGTCTGTCAAATTCCATTGCTAATAATCCCTTTCCCCCCTTAGTTTGCTGTTGTATAAGTGATGGAGTAACGCAAATTAACAAAATAACGGCTCATAAGGTGCATAAAGCATATGCTAAGTTAGGACCAAGCTTTAGATTTTTTTTAAATTCATTCTGTACTTTTTGCGTAAAAGAACTATAAACATTTAATTATCCATCCTTACAAACTTTTTGCATTTATAATATTAATGGGATTGCATTATTTATAAACATTCCCAACGATTGCGTAAAG